AATCTTTTGTAAATTGTTATAAGTTATAAGGCAAACTGACATTAACTACATGTATGCCAATTATGGAGTTTATGTATACAATAGTGATTTTGCCAGAGGCTGTGGAAATCCTGAAAATAAAAGTGAATAGTTCATTTTGGAGGCAAAATAAAATTAGAACAATACAAGGTACATCCAAATTGATTACATATTTGTAATTTACACAAAAAAAGTCACTCTAAATAGACACGTTTGAGGGGTATTGGTCATTTAGAAGTTATTTTAAAATCAATGTGAAAAGTCAACAATTTGGATAACAGCCATTAAAACTTCATCACCACACAGATTTCAAGTGCCAATTAAAAATATAAGCCATAAAATACACAAGGTGGACTTTAATGTATGTTATAGTAGGGTATTTGAAGTTTTATTATCAAACTTTTTTAGAATTTTAACTCTGTCCCACATGGCCAAAGTTTAAGGTAAAAATAGGTATATTTTGTACGTTTTCAGTGTGCATTGAATTTCGAGACTGAATATTTGGAAAAGTATATATCCCATCGACGTACAATCTTTTGTAAATTGATAGAACACAAGCTGACATTAACTATGCCAATTTTGCAGTTGATGTATACAATAGTGACTTTGCCAGAGGCTGTACAAATCCTGAAAATAAAAGTGAATAGTTCATTTGTTCCACATTTTGCCACCAGGTGGTGAAAACAGTATGCATTGGACAATGATTGTGATGCTAAATTCATAATCTTCACCAAAAGTTGTCTTAGATTACAAAAATAGAGAGTCCTACTCCTATCAGAAATGTGAGTTTAAAGCATCCGAAAACCTGAAAAAAAATTACTGAATTTATGATCCGTTTTAGTACCCTAATTTCAAATGGCCATATCTCGGCGAGTTTTTAACCTAGAGAGGTAAAATTTCGGATTTCCTAGTTTAAGGCCATATACTATAAGTCATAACATATATTTTTTTATAGTTTTTTTGGAGGGGGTCATGTTCCCACCATTGGTCCAGTTGACATGGATGGAATGACCCTATGCTGCAATATATGTAAGATATTCACAAGAAGACGTGGCAATAATAAGAAGCCTATTGATTTTCAATGATTTCCGATAATTACTGCCAGAGTTATAGCCCTTGATCACTTTGAAATATCTTGTGGACACTCTAGAATGCTGAAGTTAATATTCGATTGACTTTAAATTTATACACAAATAGGCAGGCCTGCAGCCAAAATTTCTAGCTTGCTTAGAAACACAGTTCCGCTACATGGTCCTCCCATATAAACAAACTATACATTTTTGGAAAGCTTATAACACCTGGAACACAAATCCAGTGAGTTCCAAGCAAAAAGTTTGCTCTAACTTGATTTAGGGCCACATGAAAATTGTGATAATTGTGAAGTAAATGCTATATTTATACTAACAATTGTGAAGTTGACATAAAATTAAATATTGGTGAAAACACCCAATGCCTTCATCCGCCGCAAAAAATATGCTTTGTGTTTTCGGCCCCTTACAACATCCCCCCCAGCTTATACAAAAAGAGGGGATCACGTGGCTAAGTGGGTGAGACGCTAGCTCGGGTGTTCGATCCCTGCATTGGCCGAGAAAGTTCATCCAGATTTTCCGGCGTGGTTCTCCCTTGTCAGTGATGCAGGACGGAGGGGCTGACAAGAAAAGCTGTCTAATCGTTCGGATGGGACGAAAAACCGAGGTCCCGTGTACACATTGGCGTGCAAGTAAAAGATCCCTTGGCAGTTGGAATTCGATATAAGAGTAGGCCGTAGTGCCGCTGTCCGGGCAAAATTTCCCTCGTAGCACACTGTATGGCGTATGCCCGTCTTTATTAGCCCAGGTTAGGAGCAGAACAGTAGGACGTTAAACTCCATTTCATTTCATTTAGACAAAAAGAGACTCAAGTTGGTGATGTAAAATGTCAATTTATTATATTAAATGACTGAAACATGACTATTCCAATTGGCAACAATTAATAGTTACCCTAACATCATGTTCCTTGCTCAACAACAGTTGGGCTTCATTCAGACTAAAAACATGCAATATGAAAAACAAACAACATATAATGAAAGGAACATTAATATAATTAAATCATTCTAAAACTAAGAAGAACATGGTCATAGAAGGTTGTGAAAACACAATATCAAACCCCTGGTGGTGTGAGATGGTGGAGGAGGGCTAAGCACCTCAAATGTGCACCACAGTAACTCTTTAGATAATACTACGTTACAAAAACCACTTTAACAGTACCTCACTGCTTGAGAAAATTCCCAGGAATGCATTCACCGGAAGTTGAGATTCCCGCGGACTGGAATGTCGGTCAAATGCCCATATGTATAACCTCATTGCATCAACACAAGTTTGATTACGTACGTAATCTCTATTTGTGTTTCAGCCCCTTACAACATCCCCCCCAGCTTATACAAAAAGAGACTCAAGTTGGTGGTGTAAAATGTCAATTTATTATATTAAATCACTGAAACATGACTAATCCAATTGGCAACAATTGATAGTTACCCTAACATCATGTTGGGCTTAATTCAGATTAAAATAGGCCAGACACATCACAAGTGATGTCGTGCCCAACTACAGAGACAATAACACCACCAACTATCTGCTATATCATATATGGCCATAATTAGAAGAATCAGCTTCTTCCCAATCTACAAGAATACTAATGAGCTAGCCCCCATGTACAATCTGTGATCATAATTGACATAATCACAATTTAATGATACAGCTATACTACGACATGCTGACATACATACAAAATACAACACTAAAAGCCCTCATGTTAATAATACAACTGGCAATTATCCTTGCAATAATACATACTAGTAGACTGTGCAGTACCATCGATATCAGAGTACTAATGTAAATAGACTAGAAACAATAACAAGAATACAATTGTAATTATACCATGCTATACTAGTATCAATAATACCCATGGTAATTACCATTACCATGACACAAAATTCAGAAGCCATAACACAATTGGTAGCTATGACTACACTTATGCAAGTATAAATTATAATAAATACATATGTAACTATTTAGCCAACGTTACTTACAATTACAAAATTACAACTGTAACTATTGGTTACTAGTCACAAAAATACATGTGTAACTAGCCTACACAAATTACTAGAATTACAAACATATAGTGTAACTAGCCTACATTAGTTACTAGAATTACAAAAAAATACAAGTGTAATTGTACTATGATCCGCGTCATCAAGAGAACAAAAATTCAAAGTTCCACTGGCAAACAAAGGAAAGGAATTTTGCCAGGAATTTGTTCATAACTCGGAGCACACGCTCACAATATAAAAACACAGACAAGCCTGTCTGACAGTACAATTTTTTCTATCTAAAGTGTTCGCGTTGCGAGCACAAGCCTATTGTCCGCCGCCATATTTTGGCACCCGATCATTGTGACAAAACAAAACATAATCCGAATGCCAAGGCAAACAAAGAAAAGTAAATTGATTAGAAATCGAAACACACGAACAACTTACAAAAAACAGATAAGCCACAGTAAAAAACTAAGCACCGCAAATGTGCAACACAGTAACTCTTTAGATAATACTACGTTATAAAAAACACTTTCACAGTAGCTCACTGCTTGAGAAAATTCCCTGGAATGCATTCACAGGAATAACTAGAAGCTGCCCATCAAGCCCCCCACCCCCAATTCCTGCACCACTGACAAGGGGGAACTGTCTAGGTCAACACAGGGATCAAAACCCGAACCTCCTGATTAGTGAGCTACAGACAAGGGGAAACCACACCAGACTAGGATCAAACCCTGAGCCACCCGATAAGTGAGCCAGCCCTTTACTGAGTCACTGCGGCTCCCTTGCACACTGATGACATTTACATACTAGCTGTACACGTACAATGCCCCCCTCCCCAACTATCATGTATGACGTATGCTCATCATCATTATACGGGTTGGTGCAGAACAGTAAGACGTTAAACTCCATTTGATTTTTTTTTCTCTTCATTACAATATTGTCACTCCCTTTACAATATTATTTAGTTTTGGCCATATCTATTTTAGTGAGAAAACTAAATATCTGTGGATGCTATGTTTCAGGTTAAATATTTGTTAGACCTTTAGCCTCAAATCCTATGTGAAAAAAAGTTGAACTTATATAGGCCCTAGTCTGTAGTTAAATCCTATTCAGTTTATCAAATAAATTCTTTAAACAAAATACTGTTATCAATAATTATTGATATTTTCCATAAAGGGAGATAACTCCTTTAACCATAAATGGATTTCCAAAGTTCTGTATGTTCCCCTGTCCTTTATGGTTTCTGCATTTTGCTTTAAATCAAAATTTAACCAATAGCATATTCTTTGCATTGGATGAAGGCATCAGGTGTTTTCGCCAATATTTAATTTTATGTCAACTTCACAATTGTTAGTATAAATATAGCATTTACTTCACAGTTATCACAATTTTCATCTGGCCCTAAAATGTATAGTTTATTAGGTAGGAGCTTGTAGCAGAACTTCATGCTAGAAATTTTGGCTGCCGGCATAAGTGTTTAAGGTCATTAGATGAAGAAGTGTATTGATTTTCAACAATTTCCGATAATTACTGCCAGAGTTATGGTCCTTAATCACTTTGAAATATCTTGTGGACGCTCTAGACGCTAAAGGTAATATATACAGTGTTTAAGCCTGTCAAATGTCAACAATTTCCAATGATTATGGAAATTGATATTGGATGTTTTGTATGCTAAATGTTAGAATAGGACAGAACTAGAAGCCAGATGGGTTGTTACTCGTAGTCAGATTTTAGTGTGTATTAAATGTTTTCATTTCTGACGAAAGAATAAAATATGCGACAACCCTTGTTGACTCCCAGGACGACTTAGCTGCTGTGGGCGTATGTTTCGTTGCCTGGCAAGTTATCTTTTAATAGCTTATTCCCAATTGACTAGAATTGAAATATTTAATTAGGTCATTTCTTTTAGGGTAATGGTGTGAGTAATAATGATTTAAAGAAATTGGAGGAAGTTGGATTCTTCACTGTTGAAGCAGTCGCTTTCGCACCGAAGAAAAGTCTGTTGAGTATTAAAGGTATCAGTGAGGCCAAGGCTGATAAAATTTTGGTAAATATGAAATGTATTTTTCCAAGGAATATTTCAACTCAAGGCAATTACTTTGTAAAAAAATGCCAATCAATTTAAAAATTGAATACTTAGCAATTTTGACCAACTGATTAGCAGCAAGAAGTGTACTATTCTTGCAATCCATAGTTTTTATACGCCCATGTCTGGACGCCCGGATGTCACAATTGATGAAATTTAAAATGTATAATTATATCTAGAGCTGGGCAATATTGGTAAAATCAAATATCGCGATATTTCCCCCCAAAAATGACGATATATCACTATATGATATATCACGATATTTTAGTTTTATTATAAAAAGCTAACGATATATCGCGATATATCACAATATCCCGATATTTTAGTTTTATTATAAAAGATGTGATTATATAAAAGTGTTAAAATCAGGTCATTCCCTCCCCCCTTAGGGTACATTATCCCTGTTTCAAAAGCACAGACCGAGAATTAAGTTCAAGGGTTACTCGTGCAATGTTTTTTTAGGCTTTATTACTACTGTTCGATCAGCTTGAGCTTCGCAATGTTCCGCAATCTTTCAAAATGTTGAATAACATGTGGGTACCGTATGAGTAGACTCAAAGAACCAGACATAATTTCTCCTATTCGGTACACTACAACGGCGCGTAACTCTGGAGTTTGTCTAAATCTGGAATATCTAGACACAATTTAGTTTTATTTACAAATAACATTTTACTTTTATTTAAATCGGCTTCAGTTTAAAAATTGGCAAAAAAAACCACCCAAACACACACACAAAATGATAGTTAACTAACAAACGGCATCATACATTAAATGATAATAACTGTTTCCCAACAGTGCCAATGATAAATCGACTAAAGACGGCGAAGAGAAGATATTACGCAATGACTTACTTGGCTGGTTATTTGAGTGTTGCACAGCATTAGCGACGGGTTTGACCTTATAATGACAAATTCCAACGGCAAGAGGGGAATTATGAATTTATTTATCAAGTTTAATAATCGAGAAAACTACTAGACTAGTCATGTATTTAGTAGTCATCGATCGTGACGTAATGCCGTAAATTGTTCCATGTCAATCCAATCCCAAATGCAGCACATAATATCGTGATTATATTGTGTAAAATACCGGTATATTGATAGAAAAACACACAATACGATATATCATTATCATCGATTTTTTAGGTGGTTTATAAAATATTGGAATTCAAATTTGAATATCGCGATTTATCGAATTACCGAAAATATCATTCAGCCCTAATTATAACCAAAAGACTCAGCTGGAGTCAATTTTGCTACATATTAGACTTTAACTACCTTTGTTTATTACTCCAGATTGGACGCCCGGATGTCACAATTGATGAAACTTAAAATCTATAATTATATCCAAAAGACTCGGATGGAGTCAATTTTGCTACATATTAGACTTTAACTACCTTTGTTTATTACTCCTGATTGGACGCCCGGATGTCACAATTGGTGAAACTTAAAATCTATAATTATATCCAAAAGACTCGGATGGAGTCAATTTGCTACATATTAGACTTTAACTACCTTTGTTTATTACTCCTGATTGGACGCCCGGATGTCACAATTGATGAAACTTAAAATGTATAATTATATCCAAAAGACTCGGATGGAGTCAATTTTGCTACATATTAGACTTTAACTACCTTTGTTTATTACTCCTGATTGTACGAAAATCACCTACAAACTTGTGAAATCAGACTGTAACTTCCTGTTAAAATTGACTCTCCCCCTTATGCAAATAGTGGCAAAAGATATGATAGATATATACCAAGGACTTGAAGTTTGTGGGCCTTCAAAAGGCCACAGTTTTGTCCAATTCAGATGGAACTTGAAAAGTATTAAAAGATCTTAGATGAGTTTGATTTTGGGTGCCCATCAGACCGCAGCTGCTTTGATTATTGTCGTCGCCCGTGTCCTTATGTCCTCAATTTGTTTGTGGACACTCTACAGGTCACAGTTCTTAACCGATTTTGACAAAACTTGAAATATAGGTTTATCTCAAAGATCTTGGTTCCTTTCCATATTGGCATGTATCGGATCCAAACTTCATGGGTTATGGCCCATGATTGTACATAAAAGAATGTAATACCATGCAACGGCTTGGGACCTTGGTACTTGGGATATAGCACGGGGCAGTGGGGCTCTGGCACACTGGATACGATCTTCTGGTTTTATTTCTTGCTCCCCGGGTCGACCGTGTTGTCTATCATCTTTTTTCTATCATGTTGGAGAAATCAAACAACAACCAATGTTTAATGTTTATAATATATTAAACTCGACAGTTAAACTTAATAATTATACCAAATTGAATAGGGAGACATTAATAAGTACTGATGAGTACGTAAAACATTGTGGAAGACTCCATAATTCTTGGGAGTGTATACTTTTATATATCTTGCGCGCTATTCTTCCATCTTGTAAATTCTGGCCTCTTTGCCCACCTCCAACTTTTCACCAAATTTTCGTTGGGCTGAATGCTTTTCACTACAGACAGGAACAAATGTTCATGTCTTTGCACTAAAATTTGTATGAGGTTGACCACCAAAATTTTGAGATACACAAACTTTAAGAAGCATACTAAAAACACGTAACTAGTTGCCGTACATATCACCTTAGCCAACATGATAACCCTGTTATCCTTCCGCCTCAAAATCATGAATATTTACCAAAACCTGGTAGAAAATGTTAATTCAAAAGGGGAGAAAAGAGACAGAGAGAGAATTGCTATAAATAGACGAACTACAATTTGTGGGTACCGAGATGGTGAAATTTAATGGTGGTCTGCCTCCCAAAAGGGAGGTAATAAAATACGGATTGGCTTTGGAATGTGAACAACAATCATTACGTACCAAGGTTGTTTATATCCCAAAGATCTCAGTTCCTATTAACGCTTTTTATACGCCCACATTTTCATGTAGATGTATATTGTCGTTGCCCCTGTCTGTCAGTCTGTCCACAATTTGTTTGTGGACACTCTACAAGTCACAATTGGGGGGTTGGATAGCCGAATGGTTAGCACATGCGCGCTGTATCTTACGGTCTGTCATTGAGTCAACTCGCGGGGGTTTGATTCCTCGGTTGTACGTGACGTGTCCAACCTGGTGGGTTTTCTCTGGTTCCTCTGGTTTCTTCCCACTGCTAAAGACCCCTTTGCGCAAGCGAATTATTGAAATGAAATTAAATGACCTAGTTAGTGTCGAGTGGACGTTAAACCCCATTTCTTTTTCTCTCTCTCCCTATCTCAGGTCAAAATTCTTATCCGATTTTGACGGAACTTGAAATATAGGGTTATCTCCAAAAGATCTCTGTTCCTTTCAATATTGGCATGTATCAGATCGAAACTTATCCGATTTTGACGAAACTCGAAATATAGGGTTATCTCCAAAAGATCTCGGTTCCTTCAATATTGGCATGTATCAGATCGAAACTTCATGGATTATGGCCCTTGATTGTGTGAAAAATCATGTTTTTAGCTTGTGGTTCCTCTAGAGTCACAATTATTATCCGATTGAAAATACTGTTTGAATATATCACCATTACACCCTAATGACGGTTGAGTTCGAATTTCGTGAAAATCGGACCAAAACTGCCGGATAAAATGGCCGCCCCAGCCATCCTAATGCAAATAATGTAAAGAAAAATATGGTATTTCAAGGTTGTGGACATTCTAGAGGTCACAATTTTAATCTGATATTGATGAAACTTGAAATACATGTTTATAACGCAAAGATCTTAGTTCCTTTCGATATTCGGGCATGTCAGATTGTAACTTCCTGAATTACGACCCTTGATTGTATGAAAAATCGTGTTTTAAGCTTGTGGTCCCTCTAGAGGTCACAATTAGTATCCGATTTAAAAAAAACGTGTGAATACATCACCATTAAACCGACAAAATGGCCATCCCTCATATAACACAAATGGTGTAAATATGTGGTATATCAAGGTTGTAGACCCTCTAGAGGTCATATTTTTTTTCCGATTTTGATACAACTTCCTGAATTATGGCCCTTGATTGTATGAAAAATCACGTTTTAAGCTTGTGGTTCCTCTAGAGGTAACAATTTTTATCCGATTTAAAAACAAAAACATTTAAATATATCACCGTTACGCCCTAATGATGTTTGAGTTCGTATTTCATGAAAATCAGACCAAAACTGCTGGACAAAATGGCCGCCCTCGTACGCAAGTAGTGTAAATATATACAGTGTTTAAGCCTATTGATTTTTAACGATTTCTAATAATTACTGCCAGAGTTATGGCCCTTGATCACTTTGAAATATCTTGTGGACGCTCTAGAGGCTAAAGTTATATCTGATTGACTTTGAATTTATACACAGTGTTTAAGGTCATCAGACGAAGAATCCTTTTGATTTTCAATAATTTCCGATAATTACTGCCAGAGTTATGGCCCGTGATCACTTTGAAAAATCTTGTGGATGCTTTAGAAACCATAGTTACATGTATCATCTGATTGATTATATATTTATATACCATGTTTACGCCTATATATAATCGTTTCGATTGACTTTAGATTGATACACAGAATTTAAGGTCTTGAGACGAATAAGTATGTTGATATTTTCAATAATTTTTGTTAACTTGAACAGCTAAATCTTGATATTAAATGTTTTGTATACTAAACATTAGCATGGGCCAAACAAATTCTAATGATTTTCTGATAATTACTGGGGGATCACATGGCTAAGTGGGTAAGACGCTAGCCTGGGGGTCGGGTGTTCGATCCCTGCATTGGCCAAGAAAGTTCATCCAGATTTTCCGGCGTGGTTCTCCCTTGTCAGTGATGCAGGACGGAGGGGCTGACAAGGAAAGCTGTCTAGTCGTTCGGATGGGACAAAAAACTGAGGTCCCGTGTACACATTGGCGTGCACGTAAAAGATCCCTTGGCAGTTGGAATTCGATATAAGAGTAGGCCGTAGTGCCGCTGTCCGGGCAAAATTTCCCTCATAGCACACTGTATGGCGTATGCCCGTCTTCATTAGCCCAGGTTAGGAGCAGAACAGTAGGACGTTAAACTCCATTTCATTTCATTTTCTGATAATTACTTCATGAGTTGTTACTCATAATCAGACTTTACTGTATTATAAATGTTTCATTACCGAACAATTTAGCTGCTGTGGGTGTATGTTTCGTTGCCTGGCAACCTATCTTTACCAGATTTTTACAAATTTGGTGTGAAGCTTTAGGTTCATGATCATGAGAGGATGGACCCTAATGATATTAATCATTCCTCGGCCTTCCGCTCAAGAGTTACCCTCAGCCCTTTTATGAAATCCTTGTGATTGTGATAGAGCTTACAGTTTTTAACAGACTTGTTTCTATAAAGCAAACCCATTAATTATTAAATTTACAGGCAGAAGCAGCTAAATTGGTACCAATGGGATTTACAACAGCGACTGAATTTCATCAAAAAAGATCTGAAATAATACAAGTAACATCAGGTTCTAAAGAATTAGATAAACTATTACAAGGCAAGTTAAATATCCATCAGTTCTGTAACATTACTTTTATTCACAGGGAATGGGCAACCAATATCCCTTTTCATCATTTAATACGGGTAGACTTATATCCTAATTTAAAAAAAAGTTATTTTTTTCTGGTGGTTACAGGTGGTATTGAGACTGGCTCTATAACTGAAATATTTGGTGAGTTTAGAACAGGGAAAACACAATTATGTCACACATTAGCAGTAACATGTCAGGTGAGTTTTTAATTCTGTATAAATCTGTGTCAGATTAAAGACCTTTATTCTATAACTACATGCAAATACAAGCAAATATCATTGAATACAGCCATTGAATAACCTATGGTTGTATTCAATGGCTTGTACGTATACTACTTTTGTCCAGAATGACGTCACTTTCAGAATTACGTCAAACTGTAATGACATCAACACTAGCAGCCACAATTTTTGTAAAAAAAAAAAGAAAGAAGAAAGGGCGGAACCTATGATGAATTTTTATACCCTCGTATGGAAATGTGGACGTAACCTATGATGAATTTTTATACGCCCACATTGTGGACACTCTACAGGTCACAATTTTTATTTGATTTCAACGAAACTTGAAATATAGCTTTATCTTGGCATGTATCAGACTGTAACTTCATGGGGGGGGTGGATGGCTGAATGGTTAGCGTGCACGGGCTGTATCATAAAGTCTGTCATTGAGTCGACTGGCGTGGTTTCGAATCCCTGGTTGTACACGACAAGGAGTAGGGTCGCCTGTCCAACCTTGTGGGTTTTCTCCGGGTCCTCCTGTTTCCTCCCACTGCTAAATGACCTAGTTTGTGTCAAGTGGACGTTAAACCCCATTTCTATCTCTCTCTCTCTGTAACTTCATGGATTATGGCTCCTGATTGTACGAAAAATCACATTTTACTTTGTGGACCCTATAGAGGTCACAATTTTTATCCAATTTAAAAAAACGTTTTAGTATTTCAATGTAGGAAAAATATCGTTTTTAGCTTGTGGACCCTATAGAGGTCATAATTTTTATCCAATTAAAAAAAAAGATTTTAATATATCACCGTTACACACTAAGATTGGTTGAGTTCGAATTTCGTGAAATTGGCCCAAAACTGACAGACAAAATGGACGTCCCTCATTCTGAAATAGCTTAAAAATATAGTATATCAAGGTTGTTGTGGACCCTCTAGAGGTCACAATTTTCTTCTGATTTTGATGAAGCTTGAACTGTAAGTTTATAATCCAAAGATCTCAGTTCCTTTCGGTATTCGCGCATATCGGACCGTAACTTCCTGAATTATGGCCCCGGATTGTACAAAAAATCTCGTTTTTAGCTTGTGGACCCTATAGCGGTCATAATTTTTATCCGATTGTAACAGATACCGATATGGGACCTAATTTTCTATTGGGAAACCATGTGGTGGCTACTTGATAAACTATTTTTGAAACTTGTGCGCAGACTGGAAGTGGCCGAATTTTGTGCGGTGCCAAAAAATTTAAAAAATGCCGTAGCTTCGTCAATTCTGTACCAATTTTCATACAAATGACATTTTCAGAAACCCTGAGTCTTTTGTCGGACGATAGCAGTTGAAAATTTCGAAACTTCGTTGGTGACTTCTAGCGTTCGAAAAATGAAAAATTTCGTTTAACAGACCATTTTTGTTATTTTTCAAAATTTTCAAATTTGACCTACATTTTTGGATACCTGAAGACCATCTGATTCTAGAAATATAAGTTTCATTCTGAGTTATCGCCCTTGATTTTTCGAATTTTCTGCCCATTTCCCATCTCTTATATTTTTGGGAAAGGATAAATCGATATTTCTGAAAGTCCTGGAACATAAAGCTATATAGTCAGACCGCTGGATAAAACAATTTCAACAACGGTCCAGAAACCGAAAGTAGTCGAAATAATGTCTGATATTTCGGAAAAAAATCAAAAAATGGGTGTTTTGGGGAAAAACTCGATTTCTCCGTCCAATATCAATGGATTAAACGAATTAAGCTTTCGTTGAGTGGCCCGAGGAATGGCCTGTCGTATGATGCCCAATTTATACGGATACTCTAGTATTTTCCGTTTTTGGAGCCTTTTTAGACGTCTTTTTCTCGAAAACGACAACTCCGATTTTTCTGAAACTTTTTTAACGCAGAGTCCTATGGGTGGGCTATGGCGTGAGTCCAACAATAAAAGCATTGAAATAACATAAGTTGTCCAAAAAGAGCCTCAATCTTGGAAAAAAGTTGAAAAATCCTTAGATTACTGAAAATGATCTTCTAATTTTCTTTCTTTGGAAAACAGCTGAATGGATTATTCTGAAACTTCTTGTACAGAAGGTAAGGTAACCAAACAACATGTTAAAGCTATCCCGACAATGATCAAAAAACCGGAAGTAGTCGAAAAAATTTCGGATATTTTGAGAAAAAAAAACCGTAAAAATTAAAAAAAATGGAGATCTTGCGAAAAAAGTGATTACTACGCCAGATTTCACCGAATCAAAACAACTAAAGTGTCATTGGATAGTTCAAACAATGGACAATCTTATGAGATCTAAATGGTAAAAATTCGCGGGTTAGGCAATATATAATGGAACGCTGAAAATCTATTATTTTCCTTTTTGGAGCCTATTCAGACGCTTTTATTTCGAAAACTTCTCTTATTTCTTTTCTTAAACTTCTGTTACTTAGAGTCCTAACGGTGGTCTATGGTGTGAATCCAAATTTAAAAGCCTCAATATAGTATAAATGGTCCAAAAGGGCCACAATCTTTGAAAAGAAGTCGAAAAATCGTTATATCTGTAAATCTGCTTCTAATGGTATAAGGGAGGTAAAACTGTCCAATGGATCTTTCTGAAACTTCTGGTACAGGAAATTAAGTTCCCATACCAATTGTTAAATCTATCCCGATAATGATCCGTAAACAGGAAGTAGTCAAATAAATATTCGATATTTAAAAAAAAAAAAGACAGTAAAAAAAATCTGTGCTCTTGCAACAATCGGGATTTCACCGTCGGGGGTGACCGGATCAAAACATCTAAAGTATCGTTTGGTAGCTCGATAAATGGGCTATTGTATGACACACTTCCTGTCTGATTCCTGAAAGCCGGTTCAGTGCTGCTTGCAGGTCTAGTTATTATTATTATTATTTACCGCGGGAGCCTATTTCTCCATGATCGGAAACAGATATCGATCTGGAACCAAATTTTCTATCGAGAAACCATGTGGTGGTTACTTGATAAAGTATTTTTGATGTTCTGCGCAGACCGGAAGTGGCCGAAATTTGAACGGTAGCAATAAATCAAAAAGCGGCAGTGGTTTCGCCAATTCTTTACCTATTTTAAAACAATTCACATTTTTAGAAACCCTGAATCTTTTCCGAGACAATGGCTATCTCACATTTTTCAATTTCGAACATTCATCTATGGCTTTTGTCGTTCGAACTTTGAAAATTTAAATTTTTACAAAAAAACTTTTTTATTTATGAATATTTTTTAGTCGTGTTTTACAAAATTAACGAGTCATCTGACTTGGGCAAAAATGTGAATATTTTTTGTCTCAGTAATTTTCCTTGGCCGCCATTGGCTAATTCAGTTTTTCAGTCCTAGATTAATTATTTATTGCTAGATTTGTATAAAACAAAGTTCATATACTCCGTTGTCTCAATTGTCATTTTTTTTGTTACCGATAGAGATATCTGTCGGCGCCGGAAGTGGCTTAATTTTACCAAAAACTACAATTTTGACAGTTAGGTACCATTTTTCGAAAGCAAATATTTTTTTTTAAAAAAAACTGATATAACTAAAAGAGTGTGCCCTTTAAAGGCGCACAAAATGTTGGGATCAGTTTTTTTAATTTCGATTTCATTTTCGAGCAAATTCGATTAAGAGGTGAAAAAAGGTGTAAAATTGACCTATTTACAACCCATTCAGGCTTTTCAGATTTTAAAATATTTCTACGTAAATTTTATAAACTTGTAGCTATAATCCATACGAAGAAAATGTATGTTAAAATTAGTTTATAATATAAGCAGTTACCTAGAAATGGGCAATTTTGCATAAGTCACTGTTTTCGTTATTTTGCCTGTAAAATAGTCAATTATTATTGGATTTTCACAAAAGTGACACCATTTGATTCAAAAAGCAAGTATGCGTCATATCAAATTGATTAAAATTTAAAATTGACACCGGAAGTGACGCCATTTTGTCAAAAAATGCATTTCTAACTTTTGAAATCAATATTTTGTTCAACCAAGAATTATTTAATATGTATTAATAATTTTAACTTTTGGTTTACATTCACATATTAATAAAATTCATAAGGTCATAGATTTCACAAAATTGTTTCTAACTTGTTCAGTTGCGGAGAAATAGGCGATTTTTTGCCGAAAATCAAAAGTAGCGTAACTATGTGCCCCGTCTCCGGCTATGCCAAAATGTATCGAAAGTTAAAATCCTATGATTATTGTTAAAATTACTGCAATATTTCTAAAAACGATAGCTTCGGTGATTTCGGACATTTCGCATTGTTGCAGAACGTTCAAAATAGCTTTATCCTCTAAGTCACACCCACTTTTCCAGTAAAACCGAAGAAATCGTAACGATCCGACAAGCAGTTGCTGAGATCTACTCAAAACAAAAGAAGTGTGAAACCCTAATAATTTTAACAAAAACAAAAGTGTTTCACACAAGCTACGCAGTGTGAAACCCTAATAATAATCTTAACAAAAACAATAGTGTTTCACACAAGCTATGCAGTGTGAAACCATAATAATAATAATAACTAGAACTGCGATGCAGTAATGACGGGTTTCACCGGTGCCACGTTACCCTAGACATGTCACTTCCGGTACCAATGAAACCATTAAACAGGTTTCCACATAAGCATTGCACACATCAAATAAAATGGACGCCGAATCAACCAAATCCAACAATATCAATTAATTTTATACATGTTACATGTAAGTGTACAGTACTTCCGGTGATAATAAAAATGTTCAATTAGTTTTATGATATTAGAAATGGCGTAAGGCATCACATGGTGGAAATTTCATGTAAATCAAATAATAATTGCCACTTTTATAGACCAAAAACCTTGAAAAGTGACTTGTAGAAAATCGTCTATTTCTCTGCAACCGTACAAGTTAGAAACCATTTTCTGGTATCTGTATGATCGCATGGGTTCAATCTATTTGCTGATTGGAATCAAATATCATAATTTTAAAAACATTACAAATCAGACTCATTTGAATAAAATATCTGTTTTGAAGGCTAAAAATACAGTTTTTGCCAAAATGACGTTACTTCCGGTGATAATGAAAATCTTAAATTACTTGTATGAAATCGTAAATGGCATTAGGTATCACTCAGTGAAAATTTTATGAAAATCGAATAATAATTGACACTTTTGTGGACCAAAAACTTTTTTATTTATAAATATTTTTTATTCGTGTTTTACGCGAAATTAACGAGTCATCTGACTTGAGCAAAAATCTGAATTTTTTTTGTCTCAGTAATTTTCCTTGGCCGCCATTGACTAATTCAGTTTTTCAGTCCTACATTAATTATTTAATTATTTATTGTTCCATTTGTTCAAAACAAAGTGCATATGCTCCGTTGTCTCAATTGCCATTTTTTTTGTTACCGATAGAGTTATCTGTCGGCACCGGAAGTGGCGTAATTTTACCAAAAACTACAATTTTGATAGTTAGGTACCACTTTTCGAAAGCAAATATTATTTTTTTCAAATCTGGTATAACTGAAAGGGTGCGCCCTTTACAGGCGCACAAAATGTTGGGCCCAGTTTTTTTAATTTCGATTCCGTTTTCGGGCTATTTCGATTAAAAGGTGAAAAAAGGTGTAAAATTAGTCTATTTACAACCCATCCAGCGTTTTCGTATTTTAAAATATTACTTCGTAATTTTCATAAACTCGTAGCAATAATCTATATGGAGAGAATGTATGTGAAAATTAATTTGTAATATGCGCAGTTGCCGGGAAATGGTCAATTTTGCATGAGTCACTCTTTACGCTATTGTACCTGTAAAAGAGTCAATTATTATTGGATTTTCATAAAAGTGACACCATTTGATGCATAATGTCAATTGTGACTAGTTCAACTCAATTTAAAATTTTCAATGTCACCGGAAATGACGAAATTTGGGCAAAAACTGTATTTATAGCTATCGAAACAAATAATTTTTTCAAATGAGTCGTATTTAGTGTTTGTTTAAGATTTTGATATTTGATTCTAATCAACTAAAAGAATGAACCCATATGATCATATAGATATCACAAAATGGTTTCTAACTTGTTCAGTTGCGTAGAAATAGGCAATTTTCAACAGGTCACTTTTCAAGGTTTTTTGTCCACAAAAGTGTCAATTATTATGAAATTTTCATGAAATTTTCACCGTGTGATATGTAATGCCATTTACGATTTCATTCAAGTAATTTAAGATTTTCATTATCACCGGAAGTAACGTCATTTTGGCAAAAACTGTATTTTTAGCCTTCAAAACAGATATTTTATTCAAATGAGTCTGATTTGTAATGTTTTTAAAATTATGATATTTGATTCCAATCAGCAAATAGATTGAACCCATGCGATCATGGCACCGGTGAAACCCGCCATTACTGCATCGCAGTTCTAGTTGAACCTTGTGAACACTCTATTGCCAAAAATTATCACCCGGTCTTTGTGAAATTTATATACATGATTTAAATTAGTGAAACGAAGAAGCCTATTGAATTTCAGCAATTTTTGTCAATTACTTCTAGAGTTATGGCCCTTATTTCACTTTGCACCTTGTAAACGCTCTAACATCAAAAGTTATCTGCTGATCTGTATGAAATTTACATGCGTCATTTAAAGTAGTCAAGAGAAGAATCCTATTGAATTTCAGCAATTTCCATTTATTACTTCTAGAGTTATGGCCCTTGTTGCACTTTGTGAACGCGCTAACACCGAAAGTTACCTGGCGATCTGTGTGAAATTTATATGTGCCATTTAAGTTAGTAAAAAGAACAATCCTATTGAATTTCAGCAATTTCCGTTTATTACGTCTAGAATTATGGCTCGTTTCACTTTATTGAACCTTGTGAACACTCTTACGGCGAAAGTTATCATCCAATCTTTGTGTAATTTAAATGCATTATTTAAATTAGTGAAACCACGAAGCCTATTGAATTTCAGCAATTTACAATAATTACTTCTAGAGTTGTGGCCCTTGTTTGATGAAAGTTATCATCTGACATGTATGAAATTTATATGCATCATTTAAATTTGTGAAACAGAGGTCTATTGAATTTCAGCAATTTCTGTCAATAATTTCTAGAATTGTGGCGAGTGTGAACCTTGTGAACGTTTGAATGACAAAGTGATCATCCGATCTGTAGGAAATTTAAATTAGTAAAACGAAAAAGCCTGTCAAATTTTTAAAATTTCTGTAAACGACTTCCAGAGTTGAGGCCCTTGTTTCATTTTGTAGAACCTTGTGAACCCTCAAACGACAAAAATTATAATCTGATCTGTATGGAACTATCTTGCAAAGGCCCCCAATTACCTACAAAGGAATAAATATGCGACAACCCTTGTCGACCGCTTGGACGATTTATCTGCTGTGGGTGCATGTTTCATTGCCTGGCAACCTATCTTTATTACAGATGCCACGACCCTTATTGACTTACTTGGTCAATGCAGGTTAGTAAGCCAACATCATACCCACTGAGCCACCCAGATTTTAGTGTGGTGGTGTATGTTTCATTGCCTGGCAACCTATCTTTTAATATTATATTTTAGTTACCAATAGATATGGGTGGAGGAGAAGGTAAAGCAATGTATATAGATACCGAAGGAACTTTTCGACCGGAAAGATTATTGGCAGTTGCAGAGAGGTAAAAAATATTTAGTTTGTTTTCAATGAGAAATTCTGTTAGTCGAAACTTTGGGAAACAATAACCCGGTTTCTAATGTTCAAACTTGTGAAAATGTCCATAGGCGAATGTTTTGACTTATTTCGATGATGAGCATTTCTGCTTAGGCTACCGACAAGCAATTTGATTGGCTTATATTTTAGAACACAATAATATCAATACCTTGATAAATTGAATAATGAACAGGTTAAGCAATCTGATTTCTATCTGCATTTTCTAAAGATAGGCAAGTAATAAATTAATGTCATTAATTTATTATTAAATCAGCCTCACTGTTGGCTGGTTCTTTTTTATACCCCCACATTTTCATGTTGACGTATATTATCGTGGCCCCTGTCCGTCCGGACATCCATCCACAATTTCTTTGTGGACAATCTACAGGTCACAATTCTTATCCGATTTTGACGAAATTTAAAATATAGATTTATCTCCAAAAGATCTCGTTTCATTTCGATATTGGCATGTATCGGACCATAACTTTCTGAATTATGGCCCCTGATTGTACGAAAAATCGCGTTTTTAGCTTGTGAACACTCTAGAGGTCACAATTTTGATCTGATTTTGATGAAACTTGAAATGCATGTTTATAACCCAAAGATCTTGGTTCCATTTGTTATTCACACATATCGGATCATAACTTCCTGAATTACGACCCCTGATTGTACGAAAAATCACGATTTTAGCTTGTCCCTCAAGAGGTCACAATTATTATCCAATTTCAAAAAAACTGACAGACAAAATGGCCGCCCATTATACACTAATAGTGTAAAAATAGGTATATCAAGGTTGTGGACTCTCTAGAGGTCACAATTTTCACCCAATTTTGATGAAACTTGAAATGCATGTTTATAACCCAAGGATCTTGGTTCCTTTCGATATTCGCGTATATCGGACCGTAAGTTCCTGAATTATGATCCCTGATTGTACAACAAATCACGCTTTTTAGCTTGTGGACCCTATGGAGTTTACAATTTTATTCAGATTTTAAAAAAAACGTTTGAATATAACACCGTTACACCATATTGTTGGTTGAGTTTGAATTTCCTGAAAATCAAAAATCAGACCAAAACTGCCGGACAAAATGGCCGTCCCTCATACGCAAACAGTGTAAAAATATGGTATATCAAGGTTGTGGACCCCCTAGAGCTCACAATTTTGATCCAATTTTGATGAAACTTGAAATGCAGGTTTATAACCCAAAGATCTTGGTTCCTTTCCATATTTGCGCATATCAGACCGTAACTTCCTGAATTATAGCTCTTGACTGTATGAAAAATCACGTTTTTAGATTGTGGTCCCTCTAGAGGTCACAATTAGTATCCGATTTTAAAAAAAACGTGTGAATATACACATAGCACCGTTACATCGTAATGATTGCGGAGTTCAAATTTCATGAAAATCAGACCAAAACTGACGGACAACATGGCCGCCCCTCGTACGCTAATAGTGTAAAAAATATGGTATATCAAGGTTATGGACCCTATTGAGCTCACAATTTTTATACGCCCACATTTTCATGTGGACGTATATTGTCGTCGCCCCTGTCCGTCCTTCCACAATTTGTTTGTTCGGCAACAGAATTGAATATCTGGCATAATTGGACACCTTGACTAATTTTAATCACAACTCAGGAAATTGAACGGTCCAACTAATTATTGAACAGTCGTGAAAATTATGCAGGACGCTTATAATTACACACGTGTCGACAAACTAAACACTAGTTAATTAACGCTTGGTGATCAAAATTGCACGTTGAGATTTAAGTTGTATACAAGGACAAATTGAATGCTATTAGGCCAAATTCAATGATATTTATGAATAATTCTACATAGATTAGATAATAACGCTATTTACCCGAGATTCCACGGTACCAGTCGTATAGTTTGTGGTTCATGATTATCGCACCACCATCTTGTGCCATCACAAAGATAATATTTAGCAATTGGCAATCATCATCTAATGATTGCATAGAGCAATACAATTCCACATATTTTAGCCATAGTGTAGCGTTTTCTGACTGTAATCCATGAAAAGTGGGAATGGTAGAGCGAACTGGATTCATTGTCCTGTTCTGACTGTTACTTTGTGTTGATATAGATGATTGTGATGCACTTTGCACCACCGTATTTGTACTTGTCATAGATGACGTAGAGGCAGTAGCACTATGTGTTAGAATATTGTTTTTATAGTTGTCTCGTGTCTGTTATTCATTAGATATGGGTTATCGGGAGGTGATGTACTAGATAATGTTGCCTATGCTAGAGCCTATAACAGTGATCACCAATCTCAACTTTTAATTCAAGCTGCTGCAATGATGTCAGAATCAAGGTAAATCTTTTCTATTAACATAAATTTCAGCTTAACAGATTGAAGATTGAGATTTCCAATTAGTTTCCAATTTCCATTTCACATTACCTCAACATCGTAATGCATTGGCATAATGGTTATGTACTGGAAAAATATCAGCACATAAATTAACAGGAGAGTTTACACATGAAAAGCTTTGCACTATAACAATTTTTATTTGATTTTCATACACCCCACCATTTCAGTGTGGATGTGTGAGTATTATGCTGTCACCCATGTCCATACGTCCTTTCTTCAGTCTGTTAAAAACTGGATTTTCATGTGGACGTATTATGCCGTCGTCCCTGTCCGTCCACAATTTGTTTGTGGACACTCTACAGGTCACAATTGTCATCCGATTTTGATGAAACTTACAATATAGGTCTATTTCCCAAAGATCTCGCTTCCTTTAGATATTGGCATGTATCGGACCATCACTTCATGGATTATGGCCCCTAATTGTACGAAAAATCACGTTTTTAGCTTATGGACACTCTAGAGGTCACAATTTTGATGAAAATTGAAATGCATGTTTATAACCCAAACGGTTCCTTTCGATATTTGCGCATATCGCATCGTAACTTCCTAAATTATGGCCATTGACTGTACGAAAAATCGGGTTTTTAGCTTTAGAGGTCACAATTATTAACCGATTTAAAAAATCGTGTGAATAGATCACCGTTAAACCGACAAAATGGCCATCCCTCATATAACACAAATGGTGTAAATATGTGGTAAATCAAGGTTGTAGACCCTCTAGAGGTCATAATTTTTTTCCGATTTTGATACAACTTCCTGAATTATGGCCCTTGATTGTATGAAAAATCACGTTTTAAGCTTGTGGTCCCTCTAGAGGTAACAATTTTTATCCGATTTAAAAAAAACAACATTTTATTCAATTTAAAAAACCGTTTGAATATATCACCGTTACACACTAATTATGGTTGAGTTCGAATGTCCAGCCCTCGCACGCTTATAGTGTAAAATATGTGTATAAAATATAAAAAAAATCATAACACCTCGGTAAATGCTATTTATAACTGGTTTATTGACCTAATTTCAACCGATATGTCACGTGTCATTGAAATTCAGAATTGGAGATTCTATCAGGAGAAATTATATTAACGCGCGATTCGCAAACTATGCCGAGATCATCTTTCGCCACGAGGGTTATTTTTACAAAAGCAGCTTACCGAACCTGTTCAGATAAATAACAGATTTGGATCCAGTTTGGAATGACCCACCATAGGGTTGTACCTACATATGTTGGCCCATGTCCAACCCCCAGGGGCAGAGCCACGCCCAATTTTTGTGTTTTTATAAGCCCACATGGAAATGTGGTCGTATATTGCCGTCGCCCCTGTCCGTCGTCCATAAATTCTTGTGAACACTCTACAGACTACATTTATCAACCGATTGTTTTGAAATTGATATATGTTGTTTGCATTAGTAAGATGAAGAAGCCTATTTAATTTCAATAACTTCTGTTAATTTCTTCTGGAGTTATGGTCCTTGTTTCACTTTGTTGCACCTTGTGAACGCTCTAACGACAAAAGTTATCAACCAATCTGTATGAAATTTATATGCATCATTTAAATTAGTAAAACAAAGAAGCCTATTGAATTTCAGCAATTTTCATTTATTACATCTAGAGTTATGGCCCTTGTTTCACTTTGTTGAATGTTATGAACGCTCTAATGACAACAGTTATCATCCGATCTGTTTGAAATGAAGAAGCCTATTGAATTTCAGCAATTTCCGTTAATTACGCCGTGAGTTATGGCGTTTGTTTCACTTTGTTGTACCTTGTAAATGCTCTAACTACAAAAGTTATTATCCGATCTGTATGAAATTTATATTTATATGTATCATTTAAATTAGTAAAACGAACAAACCTATTGAGTTTCAGTTATCACCTAAATTAGTGAAATGAAGACGAACAAGCCTATTGAATGTCAGTAATTTCCGTCAATTACATCTAGAGTTGTGGCCCTTGATTTAATTTGTTGAACTTTGTGAACTTTCGAACAACAAAAGTTATCATCCGATCTGTATGAAATTTATATGCATTATTTGAATTAGTAAAAGGGAAAAAAACCTGTCGAATTTGAACAATTTCTGTAGATTGCTTCCAGAGTTACGGCCCTTGTTTTAGTTTTTAGAACCTTGTGAACCTTCAAACAACGAAAATTATAATGTCATCTGTATGAAATTGTCTATTAAATTCCCCTAATTACCTACAAAAAAATAAATATGCTGTGGGCGTATGTTTTGTTGCCTGGCAACCTATCTTTTGCCTAGAGGCTGGAATTCTAAATGAATCAATTTGGAACTTAGCATATTTATACCTTATACTATAAGGATAGTAACTATTTATTTTGGTGCATGTCCCGACCCCAAGGGACAGAGCCATGCCAAATTGGTATACTTATTCCTTTTACCCTAAGGACGGCAACTATTGATTTTGGTGCATTTCCCCCCCACCCCCCTCCCCCCCTTAACCACACACACACGTACATGTATATAGTGTAAATGTAGGACTTTGACTGGATCCTCCTAATCAAGGACTTGATTAATATTGCATGTAGCTGAAAACCACCGATATGTCTGAACTTTTTTCCATCAAACGATTATAAAAAGATATAAATTATACCTCAATTTATATATTTTAGACATTTGACTTTTTACGGAAGAAATGCGGACACACAGGAGTTTGCAAAAAATTGGGGAAATGCTAGTTACACCTTAATCGAGGACACGCATGGTGTAAGTTGCGAATGCCTCCAAACGAGGTCATTTGCTCTATACTACCATACTGTGGACTTGACACTTATTGTGGTCTTTAGTCTGTAAATAAGTACGTTTTTGTCCCCCCCCCCCCCCTTTGACCACACATGGGAAAAAATACAATATAACTGTTTAAAATTGATGTATGCACAATATCGCGATGTGATCAACCGAGGACACATATTATGTTTTAAAACCGACAATTGGGGACTTTGTGTATGGTGAACAGTGAACACTGACAACCGAGTACACACACACACTCACATCCGAGGATGTTACAAGTGTATATCAATAATATAAATTGAGTGTATTCAACTCTCTATATCCGAGAACAGGCCCCCTTTGACCACAGGGGCAGCCCACTGAAAGAACATATTTTTATTGATTCAGCCACTGAAAACTTTTCATTTTCTAAATCAATCTGACTGAGGTCATACAGACTGTATGTGAACAATCGGAGACTTGTGGTCTTGACACTTATTGTGGTGTTTAACCTGTAAATAACTACATTTTTGTCCCCCGTTTGACCACACATGGGAAAAAAGACAATATAACCGTTTATAATTGATTGTGTGGTGCAATATCCCTATAGAACAGTTTTTTTTTTTTATTAATGTGGCCAATACCGACAAATGGGGACTTTGTGTATGGTAAACACCAACAACCGAGTACACACATACTCACATCCGAGGACGTTATAAGTGTATATCAATAATATAAATTTGGTGGGTTCAACATTCTATATCCGAGGGGGGTTGGATGGCTGAATGGTTAGCGTGCGCGCGCTGTATCATAAAGTCTGTCATGGAGTCGACTGGCGTGGTTTCGAATCCCCGGTTGTACGTGACAAGGAGTAGGGTCACCTGTCCAACCTCGTGGGTTTTCTCCGGGTCCTCCGGTTTCCTCCCACTGCTAAAGACCCCTACGCGCAAGCGAATTATTGAAATAAAATTAAAACCATATGTTAGTCCCGAAATGACCTAGTTTGTGTCGAGTGGACGTTAAACCCCATTTCTCTCTCTCTCTCTTCTATATCCGTGAACAGGCCCCCTTTGACCACAATACACTGTAACATTGGTACTGTTTAATTTCTACTCTGTTCCCAATTATTCATAAATATTGTTGAATTTCGGTGAATAATAATTCGGCCACAAAATAATAAAGTAAAACTTTTTTGATAATTATCAGGTGGTGACAAAAATGCTTCCCTTCAACGATGGGTCAAAAACGTCTTGGTATACTGGCACTTCTCTGCATTGAAAGTGATTTACTTCATAGAATTAACTTTAAAAAACTGACGAATTTGCATTCACAAAAGCACGCAAAGTCGTAATCTAGCTAGGCAGTGAATGGGAATATGTAGGCTACTTATAGTAAATACAGTACTGTCTGTTGCTAAATTTTACTTAATTCCTTTTGTCAATGAGCCCAACATATCTGTATTTTCAGGCCACCTATCAAAATGTGCCTTAGGGCCAGCAGAGCCTTAATCCGGCACTGCACACAGAGTAAACACATGTAACAACCAGGCCCTGAGTTCACAAAGCATTCTCAGACTTAAGTTGAGAATTTACTCAAAATTGTTTGCCTTATTTTAACTAAAATATAGCCCTTTATAAAACTTTTGTTGTTTTAATGTATCAAATACATCATTAAGAAACTATGTGCAAAGTTTTGTGTTTCTGCATCAAAGATATTTCTCATAAACAGTGATTGAAAATTGAGCAAATTCTCAACTTAAGTCTGAGAATGCTTTGTGAACTCGGGGCCAGATCTTATGAATTCGAGCCTCTTCAATAGTTATAAAGCACATCAAAAAGTGTAGAATAAATTGCCTAACAGAAAAATCATGCTTTATAAGTTGTTAAAGGGGCATGGGGCTATTTAAGGAATGACGTTTGTGCACAATACAAAGAAATAATTACCACCGGTGTAAGGAATATTTTTATACGCCCACATTTTCATGTGGACGTATATTGTCGTCGCCCCTGTCCGTCTGGACATCCGTCCACAATTGTTTGTGAACAGTCTACAGGTCACAATTTTTATCCGATTTCAATGAAACTTGAAACATAGGTTTATCACCCTAAGATCTTGGTTCCTTTCGATATTGGCATGTATCGGACTGTAACTTCCTGAATTATGACCCCTGATTGTACGAGAAATCGCATTTTTAGCTTGTGGACCCTATAGAGGTCATAATTTTTATCCGATTTAAAAAAATGTATAATTGGCATGTATCGGACTGTAACTTCCTGAATTATGGCCCCTGATTGTACGAGAAATCGCATTTTTAGCTTGTGGACCCTATAGAGGTCATAATTTTTATCCGATTTAAAAAAACGTATAATTATATCATCGTTAAACCCTAAGGACAGCTGAGTTCGAATTTCATGAAAATCGGCCAAAAAATGACAAACAAAATGGCCACCCTTCGTTCTCAAATAGTGTAAAAAAATATGGTATATCAAGGTTGTGGACCCTATAGAGGTCACAATTGTAATCCGATTATGTTGAAACTTCAAATATAAATTTAAAACCCAAAGATCTCGGTTCCTTTCGATATTCGCGCATATCGGACCGTAACTTCCTGAATTATGGCCCCAGATTGTACGAAAAATCGCGTTTTTAGCTTGTGGACCCTATAGAGGTCATAATTTTTATCCGATTTAAAAAAAACCTATTATTATATCACCGTTACATCCTGAGGACACCTGAGTTCAAATTTCGTGAAAATCAGCCCAAAATTGACAGACAAAATGGCCGCCGTTCGTTCTCTATTAGCGTAAAAATATGGTATATCAAGGTTGTGGACCCTATAGAGGTCACAATTTTTATCCGATTTCGTTGAAACTTGAAATGTAGGTTTATAATCCAAAGATCTCGGTTCCTTTAGATATTCGTGCATATCGGACCGTAACTTCCTGAATTATAGCTTGTTCTCTATCCATCTCTCGAAAATGTGGGCGTATCCTGCCTGGCAGCCGCTGGTTTTGAAGAGTATATATGTTTATTGCACTACAATCACGGATGAATTTGACTTTTGTGGATATCAAACTCTATCTTCCCGACACGTTAAACTGGAACCTACTAGTTAAGTGATGGAAATGCATGTAATACATATGTAGCAAGGTTGTTACTCTTAATCAGATTTTAGTGTATTATACATGTTTCATTACCGACAATAGAAACAAAATGTGACAACTCTTGTTGATTGCCCGGACGATTTAGCTGCTGTGGGTGTATGTTTCGTTGTCTGGCAACCTATCTTTAACAGGTGTTTTTCAATTGGGGTTATGACAGGAGAAACATTGATAATTAGCGTTTTGCAACAAATCGTTACAGAGCTATGCCCCCCTGGTGTCATGAGCGAACAAATTCTGCTGATATTCAGCATTCCACGGCCTTCCGTTCACACCCACAATGCAGTGTCTAACCCTAATAATTTATATTTATTTATAGATATTCATTATTAATAGTTGATAGTGCTACAGCTTTATATAGAACCGATTATTCTGGTAGAGGTGAGTTATCAGCCAGGCAGATGCATTTAGCAAGATTTTTACGGATGTTGCTACGTTTAGCAGATGAGGTGAGATTTTCATGATTATCGTCATTGTCAGAATAATTTATTGCAAATGAAAATGTCGTCAAAATCATGAATTTGCATCAAGATATATTTAAAAATAAATGTTTTGTAAACAAACTCATTTGGTAAACTTGCACATCTATAACTAAGTACAAAAATGATTTGTTAAAATTTCAACCCAACAGTTTGGTGTAGCAGTAGTGATTACTAATCAGGTAGTAGCTCAAGTTGATGGAGCTGCCATGTTTTCAGCTGATCCTAAAAAACCTATTGGAGGAAACATTATAGCTCATGCTTCCACGACCAGGTGAGTTAGAATAATGTTTAAATTATGGTTTCTACCAACTGTACTTCTTCAGCTTAAAAGGATAAAGAAATTTTTTGGACCAGGAAATGGTGGGCAATTTTAATTAGGAGGTGGTGTTAAATATGAATTTTTTCGGGGCCCAGTCCAAAAGTTGTAGTTGTATTTTTTTGTCCCCCGCCTTTCGAAGAAAGCAGGGTACTATTATGTTCAAACTTGGTGTAGGTATTTATTAGGTCAATGCCTCGATAGAGTTCGAAGATGAGCATTTTCTGCTTAGGGTAAGCAGAAATAAGCAATTTGATTGGCTGATGCTTTCAGACACAATAACTTTAGTTCTAATTAAGTGAGAGGGATAAAATAAAACCGAGTACGAACAATCCAAACCATTAGACAAAATTCGAAGTCCTAAAAAAACGGTATAGGCAAAATAGTGTAATCAGCATATGGACTGTTCACCATGTACAAAATACACGACAAACAGTGTAACAGGTGTCCGGAAGAGTAAGCTTACCCTGCCTGGCACCACACCCGCCATAGCTGCATCCAAACTATTAGGCGAAATCTCGGTAAAATAGCGTGATTGGCCAATAGACTATCGGTATGCAAAATGCACGTGATGATCAGTGTTAACGATGTAGTAGACATACATAATCAGGGAGATTGTATACGCGTCAATTAAATATATCTAGAATAATAGCCGAGAGAGACATGTTATATTTACCAATCAAGTCAATATGACGCCCATAAAACTTTTTAAAGGTTTTAATAAGTTTAGTTCGCAAGTATCCCTGTAGTTGAAGCTTAGATGACAAATGCCTCGATCTACTTAAAAAATCAGAATAAAATGAACAAGCTCTCGCGTAACGAATTAGTTGAGACACAAACACTCCATAAGCTGGTGATATTGGAATGTTACTACTAATAAATGGAAAGTTAACAATCGAAAAGTCAAAGTCATCACGTTTATCGTACAATTTAACACTAAGTTTATGGCAATTGTCAAAATCGAGACGCAGATCCAAGTAGGAAGCGTAATTGTCACTGTCAGTAGTGTTTTTAATTTCGAGCTCATCAGGATATATGAATTTCCCCTCCATTGAAACTTGGTGTATAGTTTCATTACATCAGTATCTTGACCAAGTTCGATAATGAGCATTTTCTGCCCAGGGTAAGCAGAGCGATAAGCAATTTGATTGGCTGAGACTTTGGAACACAATAACTCTCCTTCTAATTGAGCTAGAAGGTTCAAACTTGGTGTACATGTAGGTGTTCAATGCCTTGACAGATGAGCATTTTCTGTTTAGGGAAGCAGAGATAAGCAATTTGATTGGTTGATGCTTTGGGACGTGATAACTTCAGTTCTAATAAAGTGAGAGTGAGGACACTTGGTGTATAGTTTTATTACATCAATACCTTGACTAAGTTCGATAATGAGCATCTTCTGCTCAGGATAAGCAGAGCAATTTGATTGGTCGAGACTTTGAAACACAATAACTCTCATTCTAATTGAGCTAGAATGTTCACACTTGTATAGCACTGGTACATTCAGTAAAACTGCTCAATGGCGCACAAATTAATGTTTAAAATCACTCAAAACACTCCTTAAAATTTAAAAGCAGAACTGAGTTTAAAAAGTTAATGATTAATAGCACTATAAAAACATTAAAATCACTGATTAAAAGCCATATTAAAATAGTGTGTTTTGAGATTCTTCTTAAAACTTGAGGCAGAACAACTTTGTTTAAAGGAAAGGGGCAATTTATTCCATTCTTGAGGGGAGGCGAAACAGAAAGCTCTTTCTCAAAATTTTGTGTTTGTTTTGTGTGCTTTGAGTTGTAGTTGATTTGATGACCTGAGGGAAGGTTAGGGCATAGGCGTACGAGGAAATTTTTGACAGGGGGGGGCGGGGGTGGTTGGTGCCCCAAAAATGTAGTTAGGTTCTTAGTATGTTACATAATAATATTAAATTCGCTGTTAAATTGGACACATTGAAGAACACAATATTTTTGTATACAACTTTTACAAAGTACAATTGTGTGCCCAAATTTTCCCAGCATTTGGTGTTGAGGCAGTTATAGGTGAGGGTGTTGATTTTGAAACATATTCTGTAATTTATAGGTAGCCAGTGTAGATCTGCAAGGATTGGAGTTATGTGTTCTCTCATGTTGGTTCTTGTGATAATTCGGGCTGCTTTATTTTGAATAGACTGTAGTTGGTGGATGAGATATGAAGGCATTAATGAGCAATTTTGTAGTATCAGTGTCCCAAAAGTTTATCACATCAATATCTTGACTAAGTTCGATAATTAGCATTTTCTGCTCAGGATAAGCAGAGCGATAAGCAATTTGATTGGTCGAGACTTTGGAACACAATAACCCTCCTTCTAATTGAGCTAGAATGTTCAGACTTAATTAAGTGAGAGTGATGAAACTCTGACTATAGATTCATTATATCATTACCTTGACTAAGATCAGAAATTTGAATTGTTTGTGGTTTAGAACACTATAACTCTGATTCTAAAGACTGACATATACCTAATTTGATTGCTCAATGCTTTATAAAAGAATAAATGTGCTAGTAATTTGTGAGGGTCACCTATTTATTTGGGATTGAGGCATGGGACATCCGACTAGCTGTTGGTTTGTATTTACATTATATTATGCATATAACGTATAGAATATATTTTACAGGTTATATCTAAGAAAAGGCAGGGGAGAGACACGAATCTGTAAAATATATGATTCACCTTGTTTACCAGAGGCTGAGGCTATGTTTGCTATTAATGCAGATGGTATTGGAGATGCTAAAGATTGAAAAAATTTATTTATATAGTTTTACTGTATAAATAATATATAATATAGTGCTTTACACTAACAGTGTTGTTGGAAATAAAAATTAGGGCAGGAACCCCTAAACAATTTTCAAATTAAATAAATGATCCAGACTGTTATTCACAATGAGCTGAGAATGAACTGTAAAAGAAATGTAGGCCTATATAGTGAGTACTTTGTTTCTGAATATCTAGCATATTTTGCTTGTACATAATATATACACGAACAACTATCAATGGTTTATGTATGGAAGGGTATAGCTGCCAATATTAAATGCTCTGCTAAAATGTCTTTTCTATTGATTACGTGTAAAAAGTACCATGTACAAAATCTTAATACCAGTAATGATAAAGTCAAATTACCTCTAAGACCAAAGTTAAATGTAAAATATCAAATGCAATGTGTCAAATGTTTAATGGAAAATGCTGTTTTACATTTCCTTCATTACATTTTACATTTGACCTCTGCCGCATCTCATTTGTCCTTCATGCTTTCTACATAGCATCTTATGCAGAGCACTAAGTTTGATATACAAATGTAGGATATCATGTGACTTCCCATATACGGAAACGAGGCAAGCTCAAGCTGGCACACTATAAACCCGCACACTATAACAGTAAGTGCAGGACGACCGCACTACACGTGAAACAAAAATCTACAAGATAAACCTGCGGACCAGATAGAAAATATCCATTGCAACAAATAAACAAATATCAAATCAAGTGAATGGATCCGGGGGCCAGCCATAAGCGTCCAGTGCGCTGTACAGTCCCGCGCTATGGCAGGGTATCAGGTTCAAAATGTGATCTGCCGTAGAAAGTATAAAATAAAAAGCAAAAGAGAAAATTCTTATCCAAAATGGACATTTTCATGTGGGAAACATATACCGCTCGTGCTTTTCAACCTAATAAGTCCACCTTTTCAACTGTAAGTCGTAAATATTCTACTTTCAACAACAGAATTTCTACTTTCAATAATCAACTTAACATTCGACTTTCAACTTCAGATTTTCTACTCGACATTTTCTCCATGCATATTACGGAAATAAATTTGATCACATGACTATTTCTGCATGTCATTAAAATACAGTATTTTTCCAGAAAAATAAACGATCCCAGGGAAAAATAACTCTAGTTGTAAGCCTAAGATAAGATTGAATCAGACTAGCAATTATTTGCCTATTGTAATCAGTTTGGGTTCCAGCCCCGAGGACCTTTGTAAACTTTGCTGTTTGGTGATGTCTTCATTTCCGAGCTTGAAAAGGACGCCCTTGTGTGTATCATGGCCTCTCATATTTGCAGATAACATAAATGGCTTGTGTGTTGACGGTTGTGCATATTTCTTGGTCAGGAAAGTTGTAGGCACCATCGCCATTGTAAATCATTTGACAGGCCAGAGTGAACAGGGAGACCTATGATTGGTCAGCAATGTATCAGATTCCATACTGGGGGGGTGGGGATGAAAAAACTGTTGTAGTGTTACATAATCAGATTATTTCAACTTACTTATCCTGTGGAAATACAGCTATATAGGAGATATTTTGAAATTCATGGGCACTGCATGTTTCAACATTTTAGATTTGAGCACAATTTGGCACTTGAAACTATGTTAACAGAGAAAAACTGTGTGGTTTTCGATGAAAGTGTTAAAAGTCTAATATTGCATCATGATTACTGTTTTAAATTATTTTCGTGTTTGATTTAAATTGAATTCAGCTCATCTTTTTGAAGAATGCATTTATGTTCAAAAATAAAAATGTTCTGTGGAATTCAAAATTCATGTGCTTTTAAATTTCTGTCTGAAATTCCGCAGTTTTCTGATGTATTATAGTGTTTGCAGAATGCCGCACAGCTCATCTGAAAATGCGTAGATTTTCATAATCTTTGGCCAGGGCATTGCATATATGTTTGTTTATTAGATAACAACAGATTTGTTTAAACTGTGAGTTATAAATAGACAATTTTTCCCTTAATTTTTTTCTCCTCTCTTCCTGCATTTTTGGGTTGACTTTTTGGTCTAGAATTAGAGAAAAGGGATCAAATTTGCAATTTCATAGCAGTTTTTGGTAATACTGATGATATCACAGCGGAGAGATAGGGGATGTAAACTATTTCTGCAGAGCAATCATTGTGTCAAAAGTAAGATTTTCACCCCAGTCAACTTCAAATCCCTGGAGCAAAAAATCTAAACGGTCAACCCCCTACAAATTTATGATGAGAATATTGCCAAATGTGGTCCCCTTTGTGCCTATAAAGATTGGAACCAACGGAATGTTGAGCAAACAGCTACAGCCTGAGATGTTACAGCCATTTAACATTGAAGTCAATGGGCAAATAATTGCTAGTCTGAGTCCATCTTATCTTAGTCTTACAACTAGAGTTATCTTTCCCTGGGATCGTTTATTTTTAAATATCGTATTTTAATGACATGCAGAAATAGTCACGTGATCAAATTTAGTTCCGTAATATGCATGGAGAAAATCTCGAGTAGAAAATCTGAAGTTTAAAGTCGAATGTCAAAAGTTGATTATTGAAAGTAGAAATTCTATTGTTGAAAGTAGAATATTTACGACTTAAAGTTGAAAAGGTGGACGTATTAAGTTGAAAAGCTCGAGCGGTATGTGTTTCCCACACGAAAATGTCTTTTTTGGATAAGAATTTTCTCTTTTGCTTTTTATTTTCTACTTTCTACTACAGATCGCATTTTGAACCTGATACCGCGCCTGTATTGACACAGACTTCACTCAAGTTTGAAAACAATCAGGAATACAAAAAAGATGTAACAGAAATAATGCAACCAATCTTGACAGGGGTCGTCTCCTCAATGGCGATAGCTGCCAGTTGACGTCATGAGTTTGAACGTCAAACAATTTTAACAATAAGGGCAATAATCCGGATAGAATCTCGGAAAACGCTAAAATAATAAGTGTAGTGAGCAAACAGGAGCAAAACCCGACGAGAACGTTCTGCAGTACGAAGGGTTAAAACTCTACTCTAATAGTAAGTGCAGGAGGACGTAAAACAAAAATCTACAAACCTGCGGACAAGACAGAAAATAGACATTTAAACAAATATCAAATCAAGTGAAAGGATCCGGGGGCCAGTACGAAGTGTTAAAACTCTACTCTAATAGTAAGAGCAGGAGGACCGCACTACACGTAAAACAACGAGAGCATCGCTAACGCTGCAATATACATCCACATTCCAGCTTTGATTGATATGGTACTTTTTATACGCCCACATTTAAATGTGGTCGTATATTGTCGTCGCCCCCGTCCGGCCGGCGGTCCGGCGTCCACAATTGCCTGTGGACGCTCTAGAGCCTAAAGTTAATATCCGATTGACTTTAAATTTATACACAGTGTTTAAGGTCATGAGACGAAGAAGCCTATTGATTTTCAGCGATTTCCGATAATTACTGCCAGAGTTATGGCCCGTGATCACTAAAAAAAATCTTGTGGACGCTCTAGAGGCCAAAGTTAATATTCGATTGATTTTAAATTCATACACAGTGTTTAAGGTCATAAGACGAAGAGGCCTATTGATTTTTAGCAATTTCCGATAATTACTGCCAGAGTTATGGCCCTTGATCACTTTGAATAATCTTGTGGACGCTCTAGAGGCCAAAGTTAATATCCGATTGACTTTAAATTTATACACAGTGTTAAAGGTCATGAGACGAAAAAGCCTATTTATTTTCAAAGATTTACGATAATTAATGCCAGAGTTATGGCCCTTGATCACTTTGAAAAATCTTGTGGGCGCTCTAAATGCCAAAGTTAATATTCGATTGACTTTAAATTTATACAGTGTTTAATGTCATGAGACGAAGAAGCCTATTGATTTTCACCGATTTTCGATAATTACTGCCAGAGTTATGGCCCTTAATCACTTTGAAAAATCTTGTGGACGCTCTAGGGGCCAAAGTTAATATCCGATTGACCTTAAATTTATACACAGTGTTAAGGATCATGAGACGAAGTATCTTATTGATTTTCAACGATTTCCGATAATTACTGCCAAAGTTATGGCCCTTGATCACTTTGCAAAATCTTGTGACGCTCTAAAGGCTAAAGTTATCATCCGATTGACTTCAGATTGATACACAGAGTTTAAGATCTTGAGAGGAACAAGTATATTGATTTTCAATGAATTTTTATGACTTGGAACAGCTAAATCCATGATATTAAAAGTTTTGTATACAAAACGTTAGCATGGGGCAGAACTTTATAAAAACCAAACAAATTCTAATGGTTTTCTCAGTTGTTGCTCTTAATCAGATTTTAGTGTATTATAAATGTTTCATTACCGTAAAAAGTAAAAAATATGCGACAACTCTTGTTGACTGCCCAGACGATTTAGCTGCTGTGGGCGTATTTTTCGTTGCCTGGCAACCTATCTTTTTAAAATGAAGAGAATGAAATATGAAATGGCTGTAAAGAAGGCTAGGCGTTGGGTTTGTTTTGCCAAATTTACAGACAAAATACTAACAAAAAAATGGGTATAAATCTGCCCCAGAAGGTTGGGGCAAGCATCAAAAAAAATAGTTGCTGTCTTTACGGTATAAGGAATAAATATGCAAAGTTCCAAGATGATCCATTCAGAATTGCAGTCTGTAGACGATAAATACAAAAAATGGGCGTAGCTCTGCCCCTGGGGGTTGGATATGAAAACAATATAAATAGGTGCCACCCAGTTATTGAAATGACAACATCTATAGTTGCCGTCCTTAGGGTATAAGGAATAAGTATACCAAGTTCCAAGATAATCCAAAAGGGCAGGGTGTGGGGGGTGGAAGAGGGGGTCGTGCACCAACATCGATAGTTGCCATCCTTAGGGTATAAGGAATAAGTATACCAAGTTCCAAGATAATCCATTCAGAATTGTGGCCTTTGGGCGCTAAAGGAAAAAATTGGGTATGGCTCTGGGCATTCACCAAAATCAATAGTTGATGCCCTTAGGCTATAAGGAACACATATACCAAGTTGATCCATTCAGAATTCCAGCCTGTAAACGATAAACACAAAAATTGGGGGTGGCTCTGCCCCTGGGGGTCGGGACATGCAGTTGTCGCCCTTGGGCTATAAGGAATACATATCCCAAGTTCAAAGACAAACCATTAAGAATCAGGGCCTGTAGGCAACTCACAGAGACACAAAGAAAAATGGGTGTGGCTCTGTCCCTGGGGGTTGGGCAATCAACAAAAAACAACAGGGACATCCTTAGGGTATAAGGAATAGGTATGCAAAGTTTCAAAAGGATCTGTCAAGAATTGCGGCCTGTAGGCGACAC